TAAAACGTCTTTCAGATGCAGTCATCAGAGACATTTTATAATCATTATCTGCCTTGGCAAAATCTCACTGGCTCTGCTTTTTATAATTGCAGGTGAACACTGATGGAAAGAAGGTCAAAGTCACAAAAAATGTCCAACCTTGCAGCCTTGACAACCCCACCAAGAAGCTTATCGAGCTTATTTTCAGCAATGACATGTTCAAAGAGGCGATGGAATGCATGAACCTAGGTGGGTGTGGCATAGTTTACCTAGCATGAAATATAAACCTGTCTGTCAAGTCTGCTAAAGTTCAGTGTTCTGTACCACATGTTGGGCTTTGAAACTAGATGGGATTCAAAGAATAGGCAACATCTCTGTGATTTTTGCATAGTATCTTGTTAGCTTAATTTGAGTGTTGCTTAGATGTACATTAAGAAAACTAGGAGTCCATAATGTGACATGTTAATGATTGACCTTTGCAACCAACAGAGGGTGAAGTCTGCATTTACACAATGCATCCCTTTATCAGCATTAGCCATGCCTTGTGCTTTGCTAACAATGTTTTTGTCATTTAATTGTTTCTTTTAATACTTGGAGGTAGTGAAGGTAACATTTGCACCTTTATAAAATAAGCAAAACAAACAGTGTGAGATTACTTTTCTTAACCCTTAGATGCACGAGTGACTGGACCCTACACTCTTCTATAAGTGGGTCAAAAAGGACCCGTATTAGAATAATATGTGTTTTTATGCCATTTTTGTCATTTTGGTTAAGAAAAATCACTTGTATAATATTTAGTATTATATTTTGGTTCACACTAGAAATATTTTATATTAAATTTTTCACTATTTATAATTTTTTAATTTCTTTTTACATTTTGAAAAAAAAACGAAATTCCATAGAAAATGCATGCGGGTCATTTTTGACCCACTTATGGAAGCTTGGGATAGTAATACAAAAACTACAATTTCTTAAAATTTGAATGGCACGATATCCAAAACATGTTTTTTGAGGAATAGCTGGAATATGAAATGATGGAAAAATGTAATTACAAAGATACTCTAAGAAAACCACCTCACCGGGTCAAAAAATACCCACTTATGCATCTAAGGGTTAAGAAAATAGAAGAAAATATAAAATAACACAGATTTGTGTTTTTTGTGTGTGTGTTTGTGTGTGCGTGCATGTGTGTGTTTGCGTGCGTGTGAATGCGTGGATGGTACAAAGACATCAAGAAGATGCCTTTGGGCAAACTCAGTAAAATTCAGATTGCAAAGGGCTTCGAAGTGTTGGAGGAGATTGAGGCAGCCATGAACCAAAAAAGCAGAAACGCAAGACTGGAAGAACTCTCTTCGAAATTCTTCACCACAATCCCTCACAACTTTGGCCGGAACAGACCACCAACCATCAACGACAAAGAGATTGTGAACCAGAAGAAGGAGATGCTCATGGTGAGATGTATCTTTATATAATATTCTGGAAAAAACGTTTTGGTGTTTGCTCCGTCCAAAAGTAACTCCTTTTACATGTACTGTAAAGGTGCTGGCTGACATAGAGATCGCCCAAAATCTGAAGTCAGAGACTGAAAAGTCTCAGGAAGAGATGATAGAGGAAGTTCTTCACCCTCTAGACCAGGACTACAGTTCTCTCAAATGCCATCTCACTCTAATGGACAACAAATCAGATACATTCAAGGTACTGTCATAGTGATATTAAGGTTTAGTGAATACAAAGCACTTGAACCATGTTCCAATGTCTGATCATGTGTCCTCTTGTCAAACTGTATTTCCTTTCTCTCATTTAAAGATCATAGCAAAATACCTGAAAGCAACTAATAGCAGCCCCAAAATTGTCAATGTTTGGGTTGTTGATCGAGAGACAGAGGTAGGAATTGGACTCAATCAAGTTTATTGTGACATAGGAGACTGAAATCCTCTGACCTAACGCATACGTTGCACATTGCAGGGAGAGCGGTTTAAGGAGCATGATGATCTGGAGAACCGCCGTCTTCTGTGGCACGGTACAAACATAGCGGTGGTGGCAGCTATTCTGAAGAGCGGTCTGAGGATAATGCCCCATTCAGGAGGCCGTGTTGGTAGCGGTATCTATTTTGCGTCTGAAAACAGCAAATCTGCAGCTTACGGTGAGTCTGTATGAAAAATGCAGGGATTGAAAGAGATGAGGATTAAATGAATTGCAATCATTACAAATGACATTTTCTGCCATTTTCTTTTTAGTGCGTGCCTCTAAAAATACTGGAGTGATGTTTTTGAGTGAGGTAGCCCTGGGCAAAGAACGTACCATCACTAAAGACGACTGCTCCTTGAAGAAGGCCCCTGCCGGCTTTGATAGTGTGGTGGCGCGAGGGTCTGTGGAGCCAGGTACTAATCCTAAAATGAATGAGAGAGCTACAGGTTTTTTGTGTGTCTCAAGAAAAGCTCAAGATTATTTTGTTTTTGTACAACTACTCATGAGAAACATGCTCACAGGAAACACATATGTCATTATCAATATTTATTACAAAAATTAGAACCACTGTGTTATTTGAAATCATGCAACATCTTTTGTTTGGTTATTTTCTGTGTTTTCAGATCCATCCAAGGACACCTTCATCACCCTGGAGGGCAAGCAGGTTGCTGTGCCTCAGGGTGAGCCTTTAGATCAGCCCCAGTTCAAAAACAGCCACTTCGGCAACAGTGAATATCTCATCTACAAAGAGAGCCAGTGTCGCCTTCGCTACCTGCTGGAGCTTAAAATGCATTAACTCAAGGAATTCCATCTATATAAAGGGCTTTCAAAAAGCTTGGCTTTCTGTTTTCCTATAATAATAATAATTATTATTATTATTATGATATGGTTTTTTGCTTTACTATTACAGCTATTACTGGTGCAATTGTCTCTATTTGATTCATAAATGACTTCTCTGTGCCTTATATATTGCACTCTGTATAACTGTTCTGAGTACTTAAGACTGCACTACTGTTATTTCACATGGTGCAATGAAGCAATTACTTTTTTACTTCTCTAAGCCTCTATATATTTGCACAGTTTTGTTAGAAATAACATGATGCACATTATGTTATATTTGCCATCTTCTAGTTTGAGTAGTTTATTCATTATTTAATCCAAGTAGAAATGCTTATATAAACCTGTCCCTGAGAGAAAACATATCCGTAAGGATTTTGCCGCATGCCTTTGCAACTTTAGACATTTTGACTAATGTTAAATAGTAGAGTAGAAAAACGATGCTCTATCCATAGATATGTTTACAGTTAGTGAAGTGCAATGTGTGGCTAATGTTCAATCACTGTTACCAGTCTAATATTGAAAGAAAGACTCTGTTGCAAAGTAACACGTCATGAAAAGCTTGATCAATGTCTTGAAGGTCTCCTGGCTATGGTACAAATGCAACCATGTGGTGTCAGTAATGAGCAAGTCCATTTGGAATGTAAATGCATTTTTGCACTAAGACATTACTTAAACCAATGATAAGTAAATTAAAAATAATTGTGCCTGCAATGTGTTGAAGTTTTTTTTCCTTCTGCATGATGAGCCTAAATACTTAGATATTTTTGTCTAGTGCTATTTGTTTTCCGGTGTGCCACGTTATATGGTAGTCATTGTTTGCTAACAATATTTTTCATATAAGAAAATGTCAATATTTCGCTGGACGGCATTCAATAAAAGGCAAAATAACTTATTTGCATGAAAGTAATACTTATTGAAACAGATGGTGGTGTGAACATATACAAAATCGTCTTGAAGATGCAAAACATGGTAAAATGATCAAGTTCACACTTTCTATCCCTTAGGAGATTTGTCTTGACCTCAACATAAAGGCTACCATATAGAAAATGTGCTTATCGTGCAGTGACAGATGTAATGTGCATACCAGAAGAGTGGCAACAAAGAGACCCTTCAACATTCAACACACTCCTCGTTTCACACCTTCCTTACCTTACTGAGCTTAGAAGATTCCAGGATAGAGGGATGAAAGAGTTTTATATCTATCCAGTCATCATTAACCCTATAGCGTCTTCCTGATGGGAGCAGTGTGTAATCTGATTACAGGACACGGGAGGTGATCATTTTTCAAGTCTTTTGATGCAATAGTGCATTTTTGAAAATGCATTTCATTGCTGTGAGGAACAGTTTGTTTATTTGTAATATGATCCAAACTGATATATTACAGAACTAATGTGCGGGTATGTAACATAATATACGGTCTAATATTACAGCATTATAAAATACCATAACTATCAAACCCCCAAAAAGTCAAATATGTGCAAGAAGTGACAAACTAAAATGTGATTTTTATGTGACATACTACGCTTAGATTTTTTATTAGATATTAAGAACTGCTGGGATGATGCTTAAAGCCATTTGAATATAATGAACCCAGAATGGGAAATCTCATTATAAATAATAATGTAGAATTCAAATAACAATACTGCCTTATACCCTTTGGGAGAGAAGAGTAAAAAAACGATATTAAGCACATGGAAATATTAAAAGGATTTCCGTTGAATCTTTCCTTTCTTCAACACTAGACATTGTTTGTGGTTCCTGAAATTCCTGAGTTATTGGCTCCTTAGAATAGACATTTTGGTAACTGCTCTTAAAAACAGGTATTTGGTTTAGAAAACCATTGACCTGAAATAGATGTAAACTGGTAGGCCTATTTTGTGATTGCAAAAGTCTAAACATGACTTATTGTCAGTAGAGAAGTGCCGTATTACTATTTACCTATTGTTACAGCTGTCTCTGGTTTCAGTAAATACACTGCTGCTACAGTAAGAGGTGGAGCTGCATGGCTGCCAGGGGAAACATGAGCTGTCCTTTAACGAGGCGGACATTAGGACCCAGGGGAGGCTGGGCTCTAGTAGGGAGACAGTGGAGTGTGTGTCTATTTGAAAGCAAAAAAAAACACAATACAATGTGTGCCTGTCACTGCCATACACAGCACAGGACAGGAATAAGAGTGTTACTGAAGGAGGGGTGAGGAGAGAGGGGAAGCATCATGTACCATCAAAAAACATCATGGAACCAATTCTTCTTCAACTGGAGATAACAATGGTGATGCGTCTGGACCTCTGGAGGAGCCTCTATACTGAAGAACTAAACCTCACACACTGAATTATCTCGATTTGATTCATTTTCAGCTGGAAGACTGACTTTTTTTCTTTCTGGAAAATACATTAATCAAGCTGGGTTTGGCCCAGTGTATCTAAACAAAAAGTGAGAATTTAACAGAAGCTTTGTCAAGTCAAACACCTGGTCAACCTGTTAAGTGTGAATTGAAACACACAAACACAGAGTGAATCATGGGTAAGTACATTTATGCATAATCAGAATATTTTATGCTGAATATGTTTTAATCTAGACAGAATGTACTTGTGTGTGTTTACCACTCAATGAGATCTGAAGGGATTGATATCAGCCTCCCAGATAGGTTAAATGTCCCACAATTGTTAAGACTGATTGTTAAAAATCAATTGATTTAACTGCAACAATTGCAGGAACAATTTGTGACAAAGTTTAAAATGGCTTTTTTTTCAAACTGCATTAACAATGCGTTCAGAGCTTTCATAGTCAGTGCTCTGACAGAAAGTAAATACATGTATTTTCTCCGATATAAATTGTTGTAGAGTTTCTCAAAAGAGAATTCACAGATGTATTGTCACACAAAAATATATATTAGACCCCAGTTGGCTAACATGTCATTGCTTTTTGTCCTCACAACTCTTATCTTTAACATCAGTGTTGAATGACCCTCAAGGGGAGACAATAGAACAATTGTAGTCTTGCTGTATTCTACTGTAAACAGTTTCCAATTTACCCATAAGTGTATCTGTTTACACTCAAAACGTGTAGGCACACTTCAGTTTTTTAATTAAGCACTTAAAAAGTCTGAACCACCTAAAACATGTTTTTAAATAACTGCTTTTGGTCTACTCAACACAGGACATCCAAATATGACGACATCAGAGATGGAAGCGGAGGTTGTGAATAAATGATGGCCGCCAACACCGGTCCGATGATAGCCTCTGCGCCACATCACTCAGTGACAAATCTAAACACCACCCAAACGGAGCCCAATCCTACGGTCCCTGCTGACCTGGGCGTCGTCACCAGCTCCCAGTCACAGATCAAAGACCTTTTCGGGTTGTTCTGCATGGTGACCCTTAACCTCATTGCTTTGTTGGCCAACACTGGAGTGATGGTGGCCATCGCTCGTGCTCCTCACCTGAAGAGGTTTGCTTTTGTGTGTCACCTTTGTGCAGTGGACCTGCTGTGTGCCATCCTCCTCATGCCCTTGGGTATCATATCCAGTTCGGCGTTCTTTGGCACCGTGCTGTTTACAGTCCTGGAGTGTCAGGTTTACATTTTTCTCAATGTTTTCCTCATCTGTCTCTCCATTCTCACCATCACAGCCATCAGTGTGGAGCGTTACTTTTATATCGTACACCCCATGCGTTATGAAGTCAAGATGACCATTAACCTCGCTATTGGTGTCATGCTTCTGATCTGGGTGAAGTCAGTCCTCTTAGCTATGGTCCCACTTTTCGGATGGCCAGCTTATGGACCTCAGAGCTCTATTGCTGCAGCTCACTGCTCTCTCCACGCGAGCCACAGTCGTCTAAGAAGTGTATTTTCTGTGCTCTTTAGTGTGGCTTGTTTTCTGTTTCCTGCAGTAGTCATTTTTGGTGTTTACGGTGCCGTGTACAAGGTAGCTCGCTCCGCAGCCCTGCAGCAAGTCCCTGCTGTGCCGGCGTGGGCAAATGCAAGCCTTGCTAAAAATCGCTCAGACTCCATTAACAGCCAGACCACCATGATCACCACCACACGCTCCCTGCCACAAAGACTGTCTCCTGAGAGGGCCTTCAGTGGAGGAAAGGCTGCCCTAACATTGGTATTAATTGTTGGACAGTTCTTTGTTTGTTGGTTACCCTACTTCATCTTCCACATGCAAATGTCTCTGACTGGCTCCATGAAAAGCCCTGGGGACTTGGAGGAGGCAGTCACTTGGCTGGCCTATTCCTCTTTTGCCATCAACCCGTTCTTTTACGGCCTCTTGAACAGGCAGATCAGAGAAGAGCTGGTTAAGTTCCGACGTTGCTGCTTGACCCAGCCGGCAGATTTTGGGACATCTAGCCACGAAGGCTCCCTTCAGGAGAATTTCCTCCAGTTCATCCAGAGAACCAGCAGCAGCAAAGCTGAAACCCCGTCCAGCTGCGCCAACTCAAACCCCGGAAACACTACGGACCAGGGGGTTAAGATCCCTGGACAAATTCCTGAAGAGCAGGCTTAGACATTGACCAACATGGGTGATGGACCACAGTGCTAATATAAAGGACATGTTGTTTTTTATGTAAGCAGGACATTTTCATATTGGATAGCTTCATAATCTAAGAAATGTAAGATGATTTAAATGTTGAAATGATTATTGATCACTGGAATACCTTCTCCTATCCATTCTGGCAACAATGAGGTCATTTCTTCAATAATTTTATATTTTATGATACAAATAAAGAACTCATATTTCATGAGTGACTGGAGTTGGTCTCATATTGCATCATATGCAATGTGACCCTTGCACAAGAATCCATTGATATTTATATTAAAATGATCTCTTCTTTTAACTGAAGTGATGGAGGTCAACATCCCAAGTCATTGTTTGTTGCAAAAATCCCAACTTGATTTGTCTGCTGAAGCCATTACATCCAGTTAATATGAATGGTATTTCTTAAATAATATACATCCATAAAGCTTTTAGAAAGGCGCAGAATAAAAGTATTGCTTTGCCTGAAATAAAAAATATTAAGATTGTTAATCGACTATTTTAAACATGTTGTCAGGTCCAAAATGTATGTTTTGTTTCTTTTCATTCTACAATTCAGGGAGGCTTTTTTTCATTTTAGGTCAATGTGCTATGATTTTACTGAAACATGAACTATTGAAATAGACATGATCCCCTGTGCTTATTTTCTAATTGTATTTCAATTAGCCTGGTTTTATTGATGTTTTGATGAAGGTTGTTTATGAAAATCTGGAGTGTAACCAAAATAACAAGGTTATAATTGAAGGGATATTAAAATGATTTATTGCCTTTAACTGGGAACAATTTGTATTCCATATAAACATGGGTTGCTTCCACTGCATCCTTGTTTTTGTGTCAAAAACAAACATGTATATTCAAATGTTATAGAGTCACCATGACAAACCAAGACTAGAAACTAACATGTAGGTAAATGTTGGATGTAAATGAAGTATTGCTAACACGAAGGCTTCTGCAGTGTGGCACGCTCTCATGAATCTGAGGGACAATACCCAGAGTTCCTGCGCGCAAAAGATATGCTGATTGACGGCGAATGTCATTCGCCCCTGTCGTCATGGAAATTAAGTGAGCCTGTGACTCACATAGCAACGAGCACCTTTAGGCTGGAAATATGCTTATGGATGTAAAGCTCTGAATCCTGATTGGAGTCTGTCCGCCAATTTATGGCTTTCGCCTGCTTTTCACATGCAGACAGATTACACAGAGCACATAGGTTCAGAGAGAGGCCATTAACATGTGAATAGAGGCTGAGACCAAGGTTTCCAAGTCCCTGCAAATATGAACTGCTAAAATATGGACATGGGAACGTGGCAAAGATAGTGAATTTACAATGGAAATCACTATCATGGATTGATAATGCTCTGAGAGTGGTAACAAAGTGCTGTTTTATGGCCTCTACTGTTTGTGTTAGCTTTTCACCACCATCGGTCATGACGAAAAAGTGTGGATAAGCAAATAATGGTATACACCGCTCTTACATAACTGTGGTTGTGTGCTTAATACTGAGAGGTGAAAACTGGAATATCTTTTTATACATAAACAAACACAGCATTCTGTGAGAATTTGTTATCCCTATAATATCTGTATGTTTGTTTCTTTGTGTCTTTTTATTTCCCTTTTTCAAATTGATTTATGAGACCGCCAGGGCTGACAACATGAAGTAAAAACAATCCATACTTTGCTTGCTGAGGTTTGAATTACCTAAACCCTACTTGTACAATAATAAAAACAGGGTTATAACACCTGGATCTAACTAGAAAATGCATTTCCTGCAGAAAATACGTGTGAATGCTGTAAACTGTGAACATTTGTGGCTGAATTTAGCTGAAAATGCAGAAAAAGCTGAATATGTTATTAGCTGAATGGTCTCTGTAGCTGCTTTTAGCTACAAAAAACAAGTAAGTGTGTTGCTGAACTTAGCGGAGAAATGCAGAAAAGTGAAATGATTTGAATGCATTGCAATGACTTTGTTGAAAACTTGAAAGTGAAATGTTAAACTGGAAGAGTAGGAAAAATAGTGAAGAAGCTTAATATTTAAAAGAAAAGGTTTTAAAAAGGTATAAACAACTACATGTATAGCCTCATTGTCCTGAAATAGCTGAATAAGTTAATAGTTGAATAGTTTCTGCAGCTGAAAGTAGGCTGAAGGAGTTAGATATTAAATGTAAGTAGTGAATGCATGTTTACAAACACCTATGTGTGTAAGCCCAGAGATCAAAGGTTACCATGGAGATGTGCTGTGAAAGGAGAGCCTTTCCATTTGTTCTGAAGGAGAAATAAACCTCTTACATTTCTAATTATAGTTTAAAAACGGTAGCTGCTTTTGGTAAAATGTCAGTGTGTGTGTGTGTGTGTGTGTGTGTGTGTGCGTGTGTGTGTGTGTGTGTGTGTGTGTGTGTGTGTCTGTCTGTCTGTGTGTGAGAGAGTGAGTGTGTGGTTGTGTTGTGTTTGAGCCCAGAGATCAAAGGTTTCTATGGTGTTGTGCAGTAATCAGTGAGAGGAGAGCTTTTCCATTGATCTGAATGAGAGATAAACCTCTTACATGTGAACGTTTTGTTGAAGAACCGTAGCAGATATCGGTGAAACTTCAATGCGTGGAGCGTCTCAGGACCGTGGGGAGTGTCTATGTGTGCTTTTTTTGTACTTTTGGGTCAATAATGTGGCATTATTATAGACAAGTTATCTGGTGCCCGGGGAAGAAAGAAAAGAAAAGAGGAGGAGGACAAACGGGAGAAAGAAAAAGGTACAGGAACGTTAATGTGATGATGATTAATCAAAGTCAAAAAATGAATAGTAGTTACCGTTGATGGAACAGTTTTAACTTGCTAGCTTACTTTTAGACGATAGCAAGGTCGTTTGTTTGCTAATCAACAGTTACATTTAGAGTTAACGTCAATTATTACCGTTACTCCCACCTTAAATTCAGGGACATTTGGAAAGATTATTCAGATGTTACATCACCTGTTATATAATCTACTATATCTGTTGAGGCGAGCCAATGTTTGCCCTGCTAGTAATAGGCTAGTAATAATGATAGTCATTAAAATGCTATTCCTTTTACATCCCCTCAATAATGTATAGTTGTAGGCCTTGTATTGCCTTACAGTTTATGCTTTCTAAAGTATGTTCAATAATCAATAGTGTAAAGTTTACATCAGTGTTAAAATGTCACTACTGTAAATACTGCATACCTTAGCCTTTATCTTTAATATGCTATATTACACTGCTTCTTTGCCATCTGGTAAGTCGCAGAATCTACAGGTGCATCTAAAAGAATAACTATATCATAGAACTGTTTTTCTTTAATTTAATAAAACAAATTCATCATATATTCAAGATTCATTATGCATAAAGTGAAATATTTCAAACCTTTTTTGTTTTAATTGTGATTCTTACAGCTTACAGATCATGACAATCAATAATCCTGTATCTCAAAATAGTGTAATATTTGATAACTACGACATGTTACTTGTTAGACGCTTTTATCCAAAGCGACTTACATACTCAATGTGGACAATCCCCACAGGAGCAATTTGGGGTGAAGTGTCTTGCCCAGGGACACAACGACATGCTGACTGCAGTGGGGTTTGAACCTGTGACCCCCTGATCCCAACACCAACGCTCAACCCACTGCACCACTCGCCTCCCTTGATAAGGATTTATAATATAGATATTTCGATCTTCTGAAAGGTTTGTTCAAATATGTACTCAATACTTGGTCGGGGCTCCTTTTGCAAACTCTTCTCGGCCTCCACACATACATGGGACATCCTGCTTAAACATGTCAAAACAACCCTGAAATCGTGGTCAGAGACCAGATGGGAAAGCAGGATAAAAAGCATTGAGGCAGTAAAGTACCAGGCTGGGCAAATCAGAGAGGCTCTTCTGGAGGTGAGGGAAATGGGGGGTTACGTATTGTAACCCTTGTTATATAAACACAGGCGGAGCCCTCTACTGGACTCTATGGGTACTACCTTATCCCGCGTGCATTCTCCCACTGAGACTTCTATAGACGTAGCCGGCCCAGGGCGGGCCTACCTGAATGCGCGCGCATCACACCGTATAAAAGGAGGCCTCGCCTCCTGACTGCCATCCTATACCTCTCTTCAGCGAGCGGAACAGGACAGACAGTGCCCTGAGTAGAGGGCTCCGCCTGTGTTTATATAACAAGGGTTACAATACGTAACCCCCCGTTATATCTCTCACAGGCTCCGCCCTCTACTGGACTCTATGGGTACAGTGGGTGGAGCCCTGATGTATACGCGCACTGTCGTCCAACACCAATCCACCCTACTGCCCCTGACCGGCTTTTCTGGTCAGCAGCTGCTGCCCCCCCCTCTCCTTTAACCCGGTTGTGACCGAGGAGAAATCTGGGCTGCGGCTGACAGAGCACACCCTGCTGCGCTTGCCTCGCAGAAAGTGTGCTCAAAAAACAGTGCCGGGGGACCCTCCCCCCCCGCCCCTAGACGGATGGGGAGAGCCCCCTCGGCCCCGTATGGGCTTACTACGCACCTGCCTTCCTGAATCCCTAAGGATAACAGGGAGAGCGCCATCGCCCATGCCTCACACTCAAGCACTGACCCCCTGCAGAGTGTGAGAGGACTAAAAATGTGGGGGGCTATCCTCCCCCTGCCTCTCGGCAGGAGGGGGGCAGCCCCTCCGCCCGTAACGGGCCAGCGCGCCTCTTGCCTATCCCGGGACCCTCAGAGGGCCCAGGAAAGGTGAAGGCGCATCACGTCCGGGGAGGGGGTCAGATGCCAACTGACCCACAACCCCCCCCTCCCCTACAAATTCTGTGTTGCCCCAGCAAGCACAGACGAGGAGAAAGAGCCAGACATGTCCAAGAGATAAAACCTTATAAAGGGGCCTGGCGTCGACCAAGACGCCGCTGTGCATATATCCTCCACACTCACAACGTTGAATAAGGCTGTTGATACAGCTACAGCCCGTGTGGAGTGCGCACGAATCCCCGTGGGGCAGGCTCTCCCCGCCTGTCCGTAGGCATGTGCAATGCACTCGCAGAGCCAGCCTGCCAGGCGTTTCTTGGACAGAGCTTTCCCGATCACCCCGCCCCCGAAGCACACGAACAGCTGTTCGGTGCGTCTAAGGGCAGCCGTGGGCTCTACATAACATGCTAGCGCACGCACCGGGCAGAGGAGGTGCAGTTTAGCCTCCCTGGCCCCACCATGGGGGGGGAGACTAAAACCCCCTAACTGAATAGCCCTAGACCTGAACGCACTCCTTAGGTTTTTAGGTACAAAGGAGGGGTTCGGTCTAAGTGTCGCGCCGCTCTGGTCACCCCGAATTAGTAAACAATCGGTGCACCGACAGAGCAGTTAACTCGGACACTCTTTTGGCTGACGTTAAGGCAAGAAGCAAAGCTGTTTTCCACGACAATGCTTTCAGAGAGGAGAGCTCCAGAGGCTCAAATGGTCCCGAGGCCAGAGCCTCGAGCACTAGGGGCAGGTCCCACTGCGGGGTGGAGACGTGCACTACAGGGCGCAGTCTCCTAACCCCCTGTAAAAACCGCAACATCAGTGGTTGACTAAAGGCTGACCTGCCACCAAATCCCTCATGACAGGACGAGATGGCTGCTGCATACACCTTCACTGTGGAATGCGCCAGCCCTCTATCCACCAATAACTGTAAGAAGGACAATATAGAGCCTAGCTCACAAGATAGGGGCTCTATTCTCTGCTCCTCACACCATCGCTGGAATCCCAACCACTTCGGCCTGTAACAGGCTGTGGTGGATCCAGCTCTAGCTGCCTGGATA